GAACAATCCAGATGTGCAAAAGGCTCTTCATGCAAATGTTACTGGAATCCCTTATCCTTGGGTCACTTGCAGGTATATTTTTTTATAGGGTAAATTACACCCACACCCCTGATTGTATGCTAAAATAACTTTAAGGTCCCTGCAGTTTTAGTAATTACAATCACCTCCTGAAACATTGTTAGAAACCCTAACGGAATAATGTTCATTAGATAAGTTATTCCGTTAGGATTCTACGCACTATTAGTATTAGGCAGTGGTGGAGACAACGTAGAGCTAGGGGGTGGCATGACTCTCATAACATTTCTTAAATTCTTATTATTTTATATAAGATTTACAATAACGGCCCCGTGGGAAACAAATATAGTGCATATCGGGGTCCCCAATACATGAAATTTTGGCTCCGGTAAATGTTTCAGGGATGTGGCTATAATTACCAATTCCATAGGGACCTTAAAGTTATTTAAGCTTACCTCAGGGTGTAGGTGTAATTAATAACCCTTTTTATATATATTTTCTTATGTTAAATTTAATTAATGAGGTTAGTCTAAATTAATTAATATTAATTTCTTGTTATAATAATAATTAATTTTTTTTTCCTCAAGTGATGTTATAAGAGGGAGCTGGACAGATTCACCAAGATCCATGCTTCCAATTATCAAACAGCTTATAGATGCTGGCCTCAGAATATGGGTATTTAGGTAATTTTACCTTCATTATCTTAAAATACATTAAAATATTTATTTTTTTATAATAATATTTAATATTTTTTTGTAAATTGAAAGTGGTGATACCGATGCTGTATTGCCTCTTACCGCAACTCGCTACTCAATCAAAGCCCTAAATCTAAAGGCTAATACTAGTTGGTACGCTTGGTACGACAAACAAAAGGTAATTCTTTTTTTATTTTTTTTCAAATTAATTAATTAATTAAATATATTTATCGTGATTAATTTTTAGATTAAACTCGAAAAACTAATTATTATTTTTTTTAAATAAAAATTAATTAGGTTGGTGGATGGAGCCAAGTATATGAAGGATTGACTTACGTGACAGTAAGAGGGGCAGGGCACGAGGTTCCATTAACACGACCTAAGCTTGCTTTGACTTTGTTTAGGCATTTTTTAGCCGACCAAATTATGCCACTCTCCCCCAATTAAAATTTAGTTATTATTATTATTATTATTTCTTTTGGAGAAATAATTTTGTCACAATTTATTGGTACTAATTGAATTTAGTTTGCATGTTTTGATAAAGAATGGAATAAATGTTTAAATTATTATGTATGTGACAAAACAATTTGATCTATGTTTTCCCCGGCATGGTGCACTACTGGGCCGGGCCCCGAGGGCAAGCGGCTTCGGGCCTCAACTTCAAAAGATCCTTAAATTTTGTTGTCGTTTTATACGTATATAATTTATATACCAGATAAATTTCTCTTATCATTGAGAATTTCCACAAAGCCCAAAACAATTTGCATCTTGCATCAACGTCTGATTTTTTTTATTTTTTTTTCTAATGCGACAGATATGGGTTGATAATTTAAAATCGAACTATTTTGACAATCATTACACGACTCACAATAGTCGGGTCGATAATAGTTTTATATATTTGCAAGAGTTGGTTGGTCGGGTTGTGCCAATAATCGATCGATATTCAACCGACCCAATCCATGAGCAACCCTACTCTCACTCGACCAAAAAACCTAATTAAAAAGACAACTCAAAACATATCACTTTTGTAGATAGAAATGTTATAGAAATACTATGTAGAAAGTGATCACCAAGTTGTAGATATTTATAAGAATCCCCTAAAAAAATTTATAAACTGTCATTGACCTTCTAGAATGTATTTAAAATATTTGTTAAATCACTCTCAAATGTACGATTTAATCAACTACAACTATACATATGGGGTTGAATAGTATTAAACACGAGCAACATTTCACTTGTAAACTCATCGAAAAAACTAGTTTACACCTAAAGCAATTATGAAGTGCATATGTTTGGTATCTACAAACACACCGGGTTTGTGAAAAGTTTCTTTTGATTATTTATTTGATATCATTTCAAAACAATATGATAAATTTTATTTATAAATTATAACATAAAATGGTTACAATTTTGATGGCATTAAATTTTGCAGTTTTAGACGTAGGATCAATTTTATTTATAAATTATGACATATGACCTGTTTTAATAGAAAAATCGGGTGTCATAGGATGATTGACACCTCGATAGTTTAAATAAAAATATAATTAGGATTCTAATAATTAGAAAAGAAAAAAGAAAAAGAAAAAAAGAAAAAAGAAAACCCCAACATAACCCGTACCCCCTCTAGCCCTAATTTTAATAGCGTGATTTATTAAGAGTTAACATTTAAGAGTGCCGCATGTCAAAAAATTAATAGAATCCAAGGGCTGATCCGTCAGGATTTAATCTCATTTTTTATATACAAGCGCAAAACTAAGAAAAAAATATTTTGGAGTAAAGAAATTCTTATTATACGGCTCAAAACAAACAAATCTTTTTTTTTTCTTTGACTAAGTTATATATTTTGACCCACCCTAATCAAACGGATTACATTCTATGTGAAATCTTTTTTTGGATAAGTATATAACTAACTCCTTGATAATCTCAACTATTATGCTTATAAATACAACAATTAAAGAAACCTAATTAATCAATCACTACACTCTATCATTTCTCACATGATGCAAAATATGAACTCTTTGCTGCTCGTATTCTTCTTCTTTGTCACAATTTTCACAAATTTCACATTTTCCACCAATGTTTCTCACGACGGTAGGGCAATTACCATAAATGGCCAACGCAGAATCATTCTTTCGGGATCTATTCACTATCCAAGAAGCACAACTGAGGTACGGTGCACATTTATATAATTTACTTTTTTTTTTTGAACTATTATATACATATTTTTTTTTTTAATTTCGACGTTTATTTTTTTTTTTTTTTGATTTTTGGATGATTAGATGTGGCCCGATTTGATAAAGAAATCCAAGGAAGGGGGTTTAGATGCTATCGAGACTTATGTATTTTGGAATGCTCACGAACCATTGAGAAGGCAATACGATTTTAGTGGGAATTTGGACCTTATAAGGTTCATAAAAACGGTCCAAGACGAAGGTCTTTACGCCGTTCTTCGTATCGGACCTTATGTTTGTGCTGAATGGAACTTTGGGTACATTTTCATTTTTTTTTTTTATCGATTTACTTCGAATACATTCAAAAAAATATATATTTATTTAGTTTTTCTTAGTATTTGTTTTAATAGTGATATTGATTTTCCGATTTACAGAGGTTTTCCAATGTGGTTGGATAATTTGCCCGGCGTTGAGCTTCGTACTGTCAATGATGTTTACATGGTAAGAATTTTTATGTAAAAAATAAATTTGTTTAATATTATTAGTTATTCAGTAAAACTTTTGATTTTATTTGACAAATTCTTTTTTTTTTTTTTTTTTTTTTTCTAATTTATAGAGTGAGATGAAAAATTTCACTACTTTGATAGTGGATATGATGAAGGAAGAGAAGTTATTTGCATCACAAGGAGGTCCCATTATTCTGGCTCAGGTTTCGATTTTTGATTTAAAAAAACTACATTATTATTTATGTTACTGATCATATATTTCTTTTATTTAATTTTACTATTGGAATAGTTAATCTTCTAATCGATTTATTCGTTTACGTTACAGATCGAAAATGAATACGGCAACGTTATTGCATCATACGGAGATGCTGGAAAAGCATATGTAAATTGGTGTGCGAGTATGGCTAACTCTTTGGATATTGGGGTTCCATGGATTATGTGCCAAGAAAACGATGCCCCTGAATCAGTGGTATTTTATTTAAAAAAAAAAAAAAATTTTGATTTATTTAAGTGTATATAATTTTTTTTTTGTATAAAAAAATTAATAATATTTATTTATAAATGATGGTAGATCAACACATGCAATGGGTGGTACTGTGACCAATTCACCCCAAACAATCCTAACAGCCCTAAAATGTGGACAGAAAATTGGACTGGATGGTTAGTTAGTTTTTTTTTTTTTTAATAATAATAATAATTATTATTATTTTCCTAATAGTATTAATTAAATTATTTAATATTGTAGATAGTAATTATTATTTAACATGAAAATTCATTAAAATAGGTTCAAGAATTGGGGTGGTAAAGATCCCTCGAGAACGGCAGAGGATCTCGCATATTCCGTTGCTCGATTTTACCAGCTTGGAGGAACTTTTCAAAATTACTACATGGTAAATAAAAATTAATCTAAGTTTTATTTTCACTTATAAATATTACATTTTAGCTAAACTATTTATTATAATTAATATTATTATTTTTTTAGTACCATGGTGGGACAAATTTTGGTAGAACAGCTGGGGGTCCATACATAACCACATCGTATGACTATGATGCTCCTCTTAATGAATATGGTAAAACCAAATTTAATTTTACAATTAATTAATTACTTTTTTTTATTAATTATATCAATCTTTGAAATATACTATTAAATTTTAATTTTGTTTTTTGCAGGCTCATTGAACCAACCCAAATATGGACACTTGAAACAACTTCACGACGTGTTGCACTCAATCGAGAATGTTCTAACTTACGGCAACATTTCCTCGATGGATTTTGGAAATTCCGTCTCGGTATGTCTTAAAATACAGAATATCAATTTTATTCAATCGCAATACTCAAATTAATAAACACTATAAAATTATTACAGGCAACGATTTATTCGACAAACGACCAAAAAAGTTGTTTCTTCGGAAATGCCAATAGTAGTTTAGATGCTACGATTAATTATCAAGGAGTGAGCTACGATATTCCGGCTTGGTCTGTTAGCATATTACCCGATTGCAAGAACGTCCTTTACAACACCGCAAAGGTAATTAATTTTATAAATAAATTGTAGTGTATATTAGAAAATAAATTTCATCGATAGGTTATTTTTTTTTTGGGGTGGTATTTAGGTAAATACACAGACATCAAAGATGATTAAGGTAGCTAATGAAGCAGAAAATGAGCCAATTGTATTGAAGTGGTCATGGATGCAAGAAAATTTGGACGAAAATGCCCTTTTGGGAAAGGGTCAAGTTTCTGCTAGCCATCTTTTGGATCAAAAGGTTGCTAATGATGTTAGTGACTATCTGTGGTACATGACAAGGTATTTATTTAATTTAATTCAATTTAATTAATTTTTTTTTTAATTTCACATATATATATATATATATATATATATATATATATATATATATATATATATATATTTATGCACCAAATAATTATTACATTTTCAATAGATTGGATCTTGACGAAAATGATCCTATCTGGAGCAAGAATATGAGTATTAGAGTTAACGCGACGGGACAAATAGTGCATGCTTACATTAACGGCGAATATCTCGGTACGAAAATCCATTAAACACTCAATTTAATTCTTAATAAATCATGATTAGTGAAATAATAACGATGATTTAATTTATTTTAGGTTCTGAATGGGCTACTTACGGAATCTACAACTACGTATTCGAGAAGGAGATTAAGCTTAAACCCGGGAAAAATCAAATTGCACTACTCAGTGCCACCCTTGGATACCAGGTTTTTTTTTATTAAACATTAAAAATAAAAATCAATTCATTTTTTTAATTACATTTTATGAAATTTACATTTTTTTTCTTTTTTTGTAATATAGAACTATGGTGCAAGATTTGAGATGACAGAAACTGGTCTACCTGGACCAATTCAAATAATTGGTAAAAATGGCGACGAAACCATAATTAAGGATTTATCGTCTCACAAATGGACGTACAAAGTTGGATTAGAAGGATTAGACAACAAATTATTCGACGTTAATACCAATTATTCGTCGAAGTGGCTCTCGGATAATCTTCCCGTCAACAAGATGATGACGTGGTACAAGGTATATATATATATATATATATATATATATATATATATATACTTCGAAAAAACATTTTTTTTTTAATTTTTTTATGATATGATTTATTTTTATTATTCAGACAACTTTCAAAGCACCTCTAGGAGAAGATCCGGTAGTAGTTGACTTAATAGGTTTGGGCAAAGGGTTTGCATGGGTCAATGGCAATAACCTCGGCAGATACTGGCCGAGTTTTTTGGCTGACGTGGACGGTTGCTCAGCCGAGCCGTGTGACTATCGCGGCTCGTACGATAATAACAAATGCGTCTCCAACTGTGGTCAACCTAGTCAAAGATGGTATAATATATTAAAACGAAATTTTAAATATTTATTTTTTGAAATATGCTGATTTTTTTAATTAATTAATTCTCGATTAGGTACCATGTTCCGCGTTCGTTCATGAATAAGGACGTGAATGAATTTGTTCTTTTCGAGGAATTCGGAGGGAATCCAAGTTTGGTTAGTTTCCAAACCGTGCGACCGGGAAGTGTTTGTGGAAATGCCTATGAGAATAAAGACATGGAAATTTCGTGCCAAGGAAAGACGATTTCCGACGTTAAATTCGCTAGTTTCGGTGATGTGCAAGGAATTTGTGGTTCTTTTGAGAAGGGTACTTGTGAAGCTAAAAATGATGCAATCTCCATTGTTAAAAATGTGAGTTTTCGTATGTCGAAATTATAGAGGTTCATTTTCAATATTATTCGATAAATTATATTGGTGTATTTGTTTATTTATTGTTGTTTTGAATGAATATTCGTAGGCGTGCGTGGGAAAAGAAAGTTGTTCGATCCAAGCTTCGGCTAGTGTTTTCGGTGCAACGAACTGCGAAGCGAGCGTCTCGAAGAGACTTGCGGTCGAGGTTGTTTGCTAGTATTTTGCTTGAATTTGTTTTCTTCATGTTTCTTCTATAGTTTAGCTTAGCTTAGCTTAGTTTAGCTTAGCTTAGCTTAGCTTAATTAGTGAGCATTCCATTATTTTTTGCCTTTGATTATTTTTTATTTACTTTAAAATAAAATATTATCACATTTGAGATTAGTTTTATTTATTTATTATTTATTTATTTATAGAAAAAATAAGTACTAAAATAAATATACAATATGCAACTAAAAGGCAGAAACGGCTCCAGAACTTTATACTTTTAATAAAATATCAACTAAAAGGCAGAAACGGCTCCAGAACTTTATACTTTTAATAAAATATATGATTATCAATCAAATTCTCACACTAATAATTCAAACGGAAGATAAGACTTAATTTAGAAAAAAGAAGAAATAAATAAAGATAAACCCTTATTTATATTCTGATAGTACTTTGAAAAGAAGTAAATTAGGGCTCCACGTATTTGTGTGATTTGACCAAATAGTCCCTATGTTCTTTACTTGCCTTGAACATCTAGGCTACGAACTTGATACCTTTATTCTATTCGGGCAACAATGGTTGGTTAGTGATAATTCCTTTTGCAATTCAATTTGAACTCAATTTGAATTTGTGACTTATGGAGATATTTTACACGAACTTAAAATTTGTTTCGCTCATTTTAGATTGACTGTCGTTTTATAGATTTTGTTTCGTCCCGTATTATTTGTCATTTTAGATGTACAATGCGACATATTCTTCTAATTTTGTCTTTATTAATTACTCATAAATTTTATATCAATTGCATTCTACAAAAGGAGAGAGCAATTACTTAAAAAACGAATAGTCGAATTATATATTTTACTAATTATTCTGATACATGCACCGAAAATTCGAAACTTTAAACAACAGTTATTTTAAAACAAGAGAGAAAACAACATATTCATCGAGGAATCTTAACCTAATCTTCTCCATTTTCCTTGGGAATTGTATACTTTTATTATGCAAACCAAGTCCCACTCATTTTATTTTTACAAATTGCAATAAAGCCCCCTTTGATAATCCCAAGATGATCACTTCCAAAAAAAAGTGATTCCTTAATCACTAAGACGCAAGGGTAATTCAGTCATTTCACATGGCACGATCTCGATCACTATATCAAAAGCATGCAAACACAACACCCTTATTCCAATGAACTTAAAGCCAACACTAAAAAAAAAAGCATAAAGCTCACCATTCATCAAATTAAACAAAAGCAAAGCAAAGAAAAAAAATCACACACACTACACACACTAAACACACACACAGTATTCACACATGTACAGATTCAGTAATACGGTGATAGGGTTTCTGAACCTCTTCACCCTGCTCGCGTCGATTCCGATAATCGGCGCCGGACTATGGATGGCGAGAAGCAGCACCACCTGCGAGAGCTTCCTCCAAACGCCGCTTCTGGTGGTGGGCTTCGTCATCCTGATAATCTCACTCGCCGGTTTCATCGGCGCGTGCTTCCACGTGGCGTGGGCACTGTGGGTGTACCTTGTCATCATGCTCTTCCTCATCGGAGCACTGATGGGCCTTACCGTTTTCGGGTTCGTCATCACCAGCTCCGGCGGCGGCGCCGCCGTGCCGGGCCGCGCGTACAGGGAGTATCACCTGAAAGACTACTCGCCGTGGCTGAGGAAGAGGATCGAGGACCCGCGGTACTGGGTGAATATCAAGAGCTGCATATTGGGGTCGAAGACTTGCGCGAAGGTTGTTCTGTGGACGCCGTTCGATTACCTGACGGCGGAGATGACGCCGGTGCAGTCGGGGTGCTGCAAGCCGCCGACGTCCTGCAACTATGCGGCGGCGGCGGAGGCGGCGGCGCAGGAGGCGGACTGCTACAGGTGGAGCAACGCGGCGGGGGTGCTGTGCTACGAGTGCGAGTCGTGCAGGGCGGGGGTGCTGGAGGACGTGCGGCGGGACTGGCACAAGCTGTCGGTGCTGAATATAGTGATGGTGGTGGTGCTCATCGGAATATACTCCGTCGGATGCTGCGCCTTCCGGAATGCTAAGCGGGCGGAGACCGACTACCCGTACGGGCACAACCGCATGTCCAAAGTCCGACCCAGATGGGATTTCCACTGGTAATTTTTTTTTTTCGTCCACTCGCAATTACTCTCTCCGTTCCTAAGTAGGTGTGGTTTTTCATCTTGCCACAAATCTTAAGAATCTCAATAAATATGTCTTGATTTTAAGAAAATCCCAAAATACCCTTGTTTATTAATTAATGCATGAAGAGTGCTATAGAGTTAATAAGGGTAAAATAGAAAAATAAGCAATTAATGTAGCATTGGAATTGTAAAGTGACAGATAATATGGAACAAAAAAAAATCTCAAAAGAGACAGATATTATGGAACAGAGGGAGTAATAATTATATATATATTGTAATAGGTAAATTACGAAAACGCCACTGGACTTAGGATAAATTATGAAAAACACCCCCAACTATTTATAATTAACAAAAATCCCCTAAGGTTTGTTCCCCTCTTACACCAACTCCCTTGCAGTAAGACTTTTCACGATTTTTTTTTTTTTATTCCAGGGAATAGATTTTACGCAATTTCAGATATTTTCTTTTATTTCTCACCTATTTAACAGAAGTTATAATAGACTGTATACATTTTCTGTTAAAATACTCAATTAACAGTTAATCGGAGGGGGATTTTGGTTATTACGGATACGTGGGGGTGTTTTTCGTTATTTAACCTAAGTTCAGTGAGGTTTTCGTAATTTACCCTGTTGTAATTAGCAATTAATAATTATTTATTTTTAAATGGATCTAATTACCATGGAAAAATATTGTAAATTTGTAATCATTAATCTTTCATTTTTTAATTATTTTTATTTAGGTGGAGATGGTTGGATGACAGAAGGCACCAGCTTTATTAGCTAAAGGTGATCACTCTTTTATTTCTTTTAATTAATTAATTAGTGTATGATCAAGATGCACAAACTAAATAGTTATATAATATATGTAAGTTTTTTTTGTACAAGAAAAGTTGTTACTTTATTTTGAATGTCATTGTAGCAGCTTAAATTGCCTAAAATCTACTTTTATTTATAGTGGTGCATATGTTTGATTATCTTATTATAAAAGATAGTTTCAACTTTCTGCCAACACTAACAAATCTCGTAATTCCGGTATTTCGTACTCCCTCCGTTCGTAGTTAACATAACTGTCGTTTTTCAGTTTTGTACACGTATTAAGAATGTCAAAAAATGTGTTCTAATTTTATGAAAAACACATAAAAAAGACTATAATAACATCGATCGTTGATCATTTAATAATGTAATAAGAGAGAGTTACTACTTAAAGTTGAATTAATAAAATTAAAACATGAATAACCATACATTAAATACAATATTGAAAATCAAAGCGACGTATGATATGGGACGAAAATAGATGGTTATTATGATTCATATGGAATATTACTTGTTAGTATATATTGCATGTACTTATATTTCAGTTGAAAACAAAAGGTTATAAAATATTAAATAATATTAAAGAATTAAAATATGAAATGTATATAGCCGACTGTATATAATATATCTCTATCAAAGACTAATTCCTTGTCTTTTTCAAAGTCATCCAAAGACTAAATTGACTTTTATTTTATTTTATTTTATTTTAATCATTCAATATTCAGAAGGATTAATTCATAGGCACAATCCAATTTTCGTGGAGAACAAAAAAAATTGTACCTTCTTGTGATTTTCTTATTAATTAATTAATCATTATTTTCACTCACAAATTCTACAATTTTGATTTAATTGTAGGAATTTTGAGGTTGCTTATCTTGAATAATAATTTTCGTGGGGGATAATATTATTTACTTTGTTCAATTTATAAATGAGTTCCCAATTGTAACTAACGTGTTGAACGTACAGACTCGTAAAAACCGAATCAAGAAGTGTTAAAACCGAATCGAAATTGCGAATTTTATTGCACCGTAGATGTTGTAAACTTGTAATCGGTGTATTTTGTTGTGTCGGCCGGTGAAATTTGTCGTGATGAGATAATAAATTTACCATGATTCGCAACCACGTCGATTACACTAGTCACTAAATAAGATTTCGAATCGGGTGAGATAAGTTTTGGGGGGAAATTACAGATTTGCATTGATTCCACATTTGGTCCTTCATGTTCACAAAAAACACATTTGGTCCCTCATGTTTCAATAATATAACACTTTTTGTCATTTTCGTCAATTTACCGTTAGTTCGTCAGTTAAAGTAGTGACGGGCACACACTTGATTTCGTTAGTACGTACTAACGAAAAATTGACGGAAATGACTAAAAGTGTTGAATTTTTGAAACGTAAGGGACCATTTATATTTTTTGTGAACATGAGGGACCAAATGTGAAATTGATGCAAACTTGAGGGACGAACTCTGTAATTTTCCCTAAGTTTTTGGATATCGCACCCTAAAGATTTGCTTTCAGAATATGTAATTTATGATTGTTCGTAAGCACTGCTTTTGTTTGTATTCTCCTAAAATAAGTTACTCTAAGCTATAATCTAAAAAAAAATATCAGCTTTTTTCAGCTTATAGTCGCACGTGTGCCCTTATTACATTTTCATCCAAATCTAAATTATAAGGGCATTTTTGTTATTTCACAAAAATTAACTAAAAACTTAAAAGTTTGTTTTGCAAACGCATTCACTTACAAATTAACTACTTAAAATTTAATATTTCGTGATATTAACCATAATGTTTTATTTATCAAAATAATAATATTGATTGCCAGTCAAGCAAGATATTGGGGAGGCCAAATTTCAATAGGACCACTTTTAAAGCGAAAAGTACAACACCGGTCAAACATTGCAACAAAATGACTCTGTTATGGAATACGTTGATTAGTTCTTACATACTATTTCAACTATTTTCATGGACTTTTTGAAATACATATGTACCTTAATTTCAACGCTAGAAGAACATTAGTCAATTATTATATATATTTTTTCACGTTTTTAACTATACAATAATTTTAATTTTAATTAGAGGTGTTTCGCTAAGTTAATAAGCTGTCAAAATGAGCTTATAAGATATTTCAGACCTTATAATAAGTTCTTTAAAACTGATTGCTAATATTTTGTTTTAAAAAAGTAAAAATTCAAAAAATAAGCTAATGGAAAACAAGTTTTTTTTTTTTTAAATAGCTTTACCCCAATTTTTTATTTAAGATCTTATATTGAGTAAAATTAGTTTATAAGCTCATTATCCAAACACTTTAAAAATTAATTCTACAAATAAAATGTAACAACTTATCAGGTCTGTTAAAGATTTAGCTAAACGGGCCCTTAATTGTCACATATCATAGATTTGAAGCCTCAATATATTTAATTCAATTAATTTAAATCTTGTTGAATTTGAGTTCATTTAAAATAGTCATAGTTTTAAATAATTACCACTTGCGTACAATATTAGCTTATCCTAATTACTGAACTCATTGTAATCACATTACACATACGTACATATTATTTGTTTACTTCTTTTTTTAATGAAAGAACTCGCAGTCAACTATACATATGTCAACTGAAATTTAAGTAAATCTATACTCACATATAATGCTTGCAAATTATACGAGAAACGTAAATCATACTAAGTTAATCATGTATGACAAACTCGACCTAACGACTGTTGACAAGAAAATTCAAACGTGAGTCAATCGACAAATACTCAATTGCTCCAACCGCTAGTCAATTATCAAACAATTGACTCGTCATAATATATAATTTTGACAAGTAAAACCCAAATTCAATTTAAATTATTCATGAAATGGCATCATTCCTCCAATCATCATCAAATGAGGTTAACCGTTAATCTCTCTCTCTCTCTCTCTCTCTCTCTCTCTCTCTCTCTCTCTCTTCTTGACTCGCTAACGGAACGCGGCGTGAAATTTCAAAACAGTTGACACTTAGTTTCCCAATTTAGTATTTATTCCCTCTCAATTTTCTATTTATATCACCCAAATCCTTACAAACTTTTTTCTTCTAATTAAACCATAACAAAAGAGAAATATAAATACACACACACACACACATATATTATATACACCTCGAATTCTTTTTATTCATTAATTTATTTATTTATTTAGAGCGATCATATATATTAGTTACTTGCGGCGCCTCGCCGGAGAAGAAAAAAAAATGGCAAAGGAGCGGACGTTGGAGGCAACCTCCACGTGGGCGGTGGCCGTCGTTTGCTTCGTCCTCGTCGCTATATCAATCCTCATCGAACAACTCATTCATCATACCGGATCGGTACATATATAAATATATACCATAATTACTAATCTTCCAATATAAACTTTTTCACACAGTAATAGGTGTTACTATGTGACAAGCAAAAATTGAACATATTTGTATTGAATTAATGCAGTGGTTGAAGAAGAAGAGAAAGCCATCCATGTATGAAGCACTAGAGAAGATTAAAGCAGGTTTATACATAATGATTATAAATTTGTGTCTCTATATGTATTTTCAAGATTATAAATTAAATGTTTAATTATATTATTTTTTCAATTTACTAATTCTTTTTTTATTTTTTATTTTTTAATTGGTGGAAAAAAGAACTTATGCTGTTGGGATTTATATCACTACTCCTAACAGTATTGCAAGAATCAATAGCTGATATTTGTGTACCAAGAAGTGTTGCACATTCTTGGCATCCTTGTAGTAATTACAAAGATTCTGAAGTATATGATGATCCTTGTTTAGCAAAGGTAATTAATTAATTTTGGTTAATAATTTAATTAGTTAATTTTTTAATTTAATTTAATTAATTGATTTTTTTGTGAATGTACAACATTTGTAGGGGAAAGTACAATTTGTATCACCATATGGGATACACCAACTCCACATTTTCATATTTGTGTTGGCTCTTGCACATGTGCTCTATTGTGTTGTAACTTATGGATTGGGACTACTAAGGGCTATTTTGGTTGGAGGGATATGGGCTGATGGATCTTCCAATCCAGTGGGTTCTCGGACTTGGTTCACTACAAACGGATCTAGGATGGATCCTGGGCCCGGGTCCAAATCCGCCCAAATCCGCCAAATACAGGATCCTCCATCCCACCGTCTGAGGTGAGATAAGCTAATCTCGTCCGTCTTTCACAAACCCGCTAAGTTATTTTACCTTTTTGCCCTCACAATCCACTCGTAATTACAATTCTACCTGGTATATATACAAATTACCTCCCCAATCTGCTGAAGCCCTAGCCTCGTCTCCTCCGTCTTCGTTTTCTTTCTCCTGCAAATCATAGATTTTCCCCTCCGTTGTTATGATTTATCTAATACGGTTTTACTTGTACTTTTTAGGAGCTGATTCCACTGTCGGTGGTGATGGTACTCATCGAAGTCCTTCGTTACTTCGTGTCTAAGCTCAAACTCCCGATGTCAAAATTGTCAAAGACGGGTAATTTCTTATTTGTTTTTTGCTATTTGTTCGAGTACTGGCGCGTAATAGTGTATGGCGATTTATTTAATCTGCGAATTGGTTTTTTGTTTCACAGGCAACTGATAATTAGGAACTTAGGGCACGGAATCTGAGGGCGGCCGCGAATTTCATCCATGTTAAGTCGTTCCGTGCTCGTAAGAACTACTACAGCAACGAGGTGAGAAATTGTATTCTCAATGTGTTTTTCCTACTGGTGCTTGTGGTTTAGTTGAGATTATAGACTCGAATTTATGTTTTTGGGGGTGATTAGTTGAATATTCTTCTTTAGATCTCAATAATTAGTTTTAAGAACACCAGTAAGTGTAGTTAAGATTAGATTAAGAAAGAGAAAGTGAATATTATCAAGAGTAAGCAAGTAGAACAAGTGAAGCATGTTTGAACCTCAAACTCTGCTCTTTCTTAACAGTGGAATTGTTTCTGGACATATATATTATACACTTTCTACTCATTGTTATGCCCTTCTGAGTGGGTGCTAGCCACGAATGAGTTATGCAATCGTTACTAAATGGGAAACATTTTTAATTGAAATTGCAGGAGAACGGTTTATTACACGTGCCTAAGGGCCAAGCTCAGAATCCACAGGCACAGATCTTCTCCGATCCAACTTCCAATTTTCTCTTGTATCTACTTCCCTTTCGGTTAAGGTTTATCTACTAAATGTGAAAACATTTCACGTAGCTTTTTGTGGGAAATGATTAAAAGGAATTTCTTTCGAGTTTTCTTTTTCAAGAATTTGCTTTCAAGGCTTAGGTCTTGTTAATTGTAGCGTCTGCATATAATTTTGGGTAGTGCTAATTGCGTAATAGTTCATTTATAGAAGAAGGAATTATAGAACTTTTGATTTAAATAATGCATAATTTGTTTCAAGAGTTGCAGTTGATGTCATTCTCTGTAGGGAATTCTTTAGATCTTTTTATATCTCACTTTAGGGATGCTGACACGTGTGTTGCATTTGTTCATATGTACTCAGGTTCACCGAGCATGACTAAGGTGACAAAATTGATGTTCTTGTGAAGGCAAGAGAACTTAAGTGTCAGCTTCTCGTCTTCGCATGGTTACTGGTTTAGTTGTCTTATCATTGTAGGTGAGACTGATATCTGCACAGCTTCCAAGCTTTTGTTTTGCCTTGTACATGCAAAAGACAGAAAAGGGGGTTATGGTTTGAATGATCCTCGAAGGTCGCTCCTTCGGATAGGTAGACTACCATCCACTCACAAGGCGAAGAAGTTTTGCGTGTTCGGACCCCATTTTGCGGCGTTAATTATATTTAAGACATTTTATTTCTTCTTTAATTTAATTTTGTGATGGACATTATAGTAGTCCACTCGTGTGTCACAAATATAAATTTTCTGTAATATGGCATATTATTTTACGTAAATTTTCTACAAGTATTTCTTGAAGTTTCTGTTAGTTTGGAGCTAAAATGTCTAATATGGCTTCCAAAAAATTTTGTTATATATATAATGACATCTAACTGTTATATTAATGTTCATTTTTCCAATCATAAACACAAATTATAAATTACAATACAGTAGAATGGGTGGTGCAACCAATATTTTACAAATTGACAGGTGCAAGTGGTGGTAATGTAATCATCCGAAAATGTTAGGGCTGATTTTATAATTACAGGAAAATGGGAGGAAATAATGGGTGGTGCAACCAATATTTTACAAAGTGCCAGGTGTGTTATATAATAATATAAAGAGCTTGCAAGGGGTGGTAATGTAATTATCCGAAAATATTAGGGCTGATTTTATAATTAAAGGAAAATAGGAGGAAAGAATGGGTGGTGCAAGAAATATTTTACCAAAAATGGTAGGGTTGATTTTATAATTAAAGAAAAATGGGAGGAAAGAATGGGTGGTGCAAGCAATATTTTCAAAATTGACAGGTGTATAATATAATAATAAAAAGGTTTGCAAGGGGTGGTAATGTAATTATCCGAAAATGTTAGGGATAATTTTATAATTAAATGAAAATAGGAGGAAAGAATCGATGCAGCAAGCAATATTTTAAAAATTGACAGGTGTATAATATAATAATAAAAAGGGCTTGCAAGGGGTGAAAATGTAATTATCCGCAAATTTTAGGACTGATTTTATAATTAAAGGAAAGTGGGAGGAAGAATGAGTGCAGCAAACAGTATTTTAAAAATTGGCATGCGTATAATATAAAAATAAAAAGGCATTTCCAGGGGTGGTAATGTAATTAACCAAATTATCCCACCCAATCCTCCTAACCATTCCTGAGTTTGCCTGTTCGGATTCAATCCCACATATTCGTATCCAACCAACCCAACCCGAGATACAATCCATATTTTACTAATCCATACAGTGTATTTTCAATATGAACCCCCAATCCCATCCCAACCCTTCCCTCCAACCAAAAGGGGCCTAAAGGTAACTAATTAATCCACATTATCTTAATTAATATTTCCTTAATTTTTTATTTATTTTTTATTTTAGAATTATATTATTTATATATTTGAAAAATAAAATGGTTTGGAATTATTAATGCAGATGAGGAAATGGAAATCATGGGAGGATGAAACTAAGACAATTCAATATCAGTTCTATAATGGTAATTACTCTGAAAATTAAGTAATGCTTATAATATTATAAATAACTGTGTGTGTTTTACACGCAGTTAAGGTGAGTTCATTTTGAAAATGTGGAAATCCCATTTGATACATTAAAAGAAAGATTTAAAAAAAAAAACAAAATAGTGGTCAAAATTTTAATTAGATTATATAAAATATTATTTTACCTGTGGATTTTGATTTTATATATTTATTCAATTCATTGTCCGTCAAATATATACGGTGGAGGAAAATTACAATTTTAATCCCTTAAGTTTGCAGGGATTACATATTAGGACTTTCATGTTTACAAAAAAATACGTTTAGTCCTTTATAGTTCAATAATTCAACATTTTTGGCCCTTTTTCGTGAATTTGTCTTAAGTCCGGCAGTTAAGCAAGTGATGGGCCCATGCATGTTTCCTTTAGTACTAACAAAAATTGACGGAAATGACCAGAAGTGTTGAAATTTTTTTAGGGACTAAATGTGTTTTTTTGTGAATATGGGGACCAAATGTGAGATCAATGCAAGCTTGAGGGATGAAAAGTCGAAAACTATATTTTCCCCTATATACACTAGCAATATAATTTGGACACGTTTTGTGGGGTGCTTGGTGTATATATATATATTTTTTTTTAAATAATAATGATCAAAATTCAAAATTTCATTTATTGCACAAATAGGTGGGGTTAACATTTGACTTATGAGATTTTTTTAGTTTTTATTTTGACCCTAGACTATTGACAAATTGTGATGTAGACCCCGAAAGATTTAGATTTGCGAGGGACACGTCATTCGGACGTAGGCATTTGCATTTCTGGAGCCGTTCACCTGTTCTTCTCTGGATAGTAAGGCTTTTCAAATCCTTTTTTTTTTTTTTTTAATTATTATTAATTATATTTTTCCCTCTAATTATTTATGCCAAATATTATTTTTTTGAAGGACAAACTCGTAAATAATTATGTTATTCTAAAGCAATTTATTCTCTATATATTTTTTGTAGGTGTGTTTCTTCAGGCAATTCTTCACATCAATTGCAAAAGTGGACTACTTAACCCTTAGACATGGTTTTATTATGGTAATAAAAATAATAATAATAATAATTAATAACAATTAATATTAGATTAGTGATAAATAATATTATAAACTGTTGCATTTGGATTGAATTTCAGGAACATTTAACACCTCAAAGCCAAGAATCATTCAATTTCCAAAAGTATATAAACAGATCACTCGAAGAAGATTTCAAAGTCATCGTCGGAATAAGGTTTTTATTACATTAAAAAAAATTATTTTTCGGCTTAAAAATTATTTATGAATACACAAACTGATTATTTGTTTATGTGCATGCAGCCCTGTAATATGGTTGTGTGCTGTTACATTTCTCCTCACCAACACGAACGGTCAGTCGAATTAACATATATTTTTTTATTTATTTATTAGTCCATATAAATCAAGAATTTTGCCTAATTCTCTTTCCATAAACAGGGTGGCAATCGCACTTTTGGCTACCGTTTATCCCGTTAATTGTGAGTAAAAAACCGATTATCGTTTCATTTTACGCAGCTCTATAAGCCTTAAAGAGTTGATCTTACATCGATTTTGTTTATATAAATGTGCAGATAATTCTTTTGGTAGGAGCAAAGTTACAAGTAATAATAACGAAAATGGGAATAAGAATTCTCGAGGGCGGAGATGTAATAAAGGGCACTCCGGTGGTTCAACCGGGCGATGACCTGTTCTGGTTCAATAGTCCACGTTTGCTCCTTTTCTTGATTCACTTTGTTCTTTTCGGGGTACGTTTTTTTCCTTAAAATAGAAAAAAAAACACGTGTTTATATTCTTTAAACATTTGTCGCACGAGAAATTCAGACAACCTTAATTATCATTTTATTTATTTATAATTGTTCTGTTTTTTTTTCTTCTTCTGCAGAATGCATTTCAACTTGCCTTCTTTGCTTGGAGTTATGTAAGTATTCATCTTTAAAACTATATTCAACAAAATAAAGTTGTATATATTTTTTTCTGATAATTTATTTATTTATTTATTATTTAGTATGAATTTGGATATCCCTCTTGCTACCATCAGACTCTTGAAGATGTGATCATTAGGATTGCAATGGGGTAAGGTTTCATTTGTATGCATTGCTATTTAATAAATCATATATATATATATATATATATATATATATATATATATATATATATATATAAGAAAATTGATTTTATTTTTATTTAAATAATCTCCATAAACTAATATATTCTTGATTTTTTTACAGTGTGGTTATACAGTTTCTTTGCAGCTATATGACGCTCCCTCTCTATGCTTTGGTCACTCAGGTAAACCCCGTTTTTCGGCCTCAAAATAATTTTACGTTCATTCCGATTTCTAAATTTTTTATTATCGGAATACTCACTTTCAGTTCATCAAAATATATTAATTCTAATCTGATCAGTTCGATTTTGGAATTTTAGATTTCCATTCTCATTTTCTTGACCTTTTTCTTTAAAAATAATCAGATGGGCTCAAAGATGAAGCCAGTCATATTCAGTGAGCAGGTGGCATCAGCTTTGCGAGGGTGGCACCATGCCGCCAAGAAGAACGTTAAAGAAGGGCGGCAATCAGCCAACACCACCCCGTTTTCCAGTCGGCCCACCTCCCCATTACACGGAAGCACATCACCGCTTTATCTCTTGCAAGGTTATCAACCATCTTCATCGTCTCCCAAACGACTATTAAACTCCACCAATGAACTCACGACCACCACTGGCGGTGGTGGTGGTGAGACGTCACCCTCAGCCTCGCCACGTCATCACCAAGACGTGGATGATTTTAACGTGAACGGCAATACTTATTCGGGTGAGATAGTGATGGATGTTGAAGATTCTCCACAGCATGCAGTTAATATTAGTTTGAGTGATTTCTCTTTCAGACAAAAGGGGAGTGGAGGAGCCAACTCAAACTGATTAAAGAGATTTTTTATTCTTTCTGACAAATTTAATATATACTTTGTACAACTTGAAAATGATTTTTTCCCAGACATTTGTAATATTAATAATGTTAAAGTATTTTGTCACTTAATAATTTATATGCTTACCACACATATGTAATCGAAACATAAGATGAAACAAAATTTTCCCTAATATAAAATTAAGCCCAAGAAATTACTTATCAAGATCAATCAAAGGCTATCGAACGGGGCCTAAAGAAACTAGACGTTTTCTTTGAATGACGACCCGGTTAAGGGTGTGGCTAATTTGTAAAAATAATAATCGCCGCTTAATCATCGAGGCTAAAACCGAAAACGAGTACAAACGAAAAAACATGCATGTTAATAAAGCAAAATCTGTAAGGATCATAATCCACATCATCACAAGTATATATATATATAGACAAGAAGCTTGTAATAAGACAGAACTGCAAACCATGATAAGTTTTCATTTTACGAGCTTTTTAGACATTTTCTGATGCATCTGTTTGTGTCTCTTCTGTTTTCCCTGTAGCAGCCAATCTTTCTTCGAGTGCTCGAGCACCTCTTTCCCTGCAAATTAACAAGATAAACCATTCCGTAAATAAATTCCGGGTAAAGATTTTTATTGACAGAAATTAAAATTAGTGGGACGGAATTCGTTAGTGAACCCAGAATTAGCCTTCAGGCTTCAAGATTAAGTATATACCTCCTTATATTAAAACTAATTAAACATAACATTCTTTTATAATGAGCAACAAACGAAGATTACCTCCTTCTAGAAGCTTCAACGGAATCCGAACCAGACAATGATGCACCTCCTAAAGTATAGCCATTCTCATCAGATTCAGGTCTTTTTCCACAAAGCATCCGCTCAAAAATTGTAGCCACGGGATCAATTGCTGGTCTGAATTCCATATATTCAATTTATTTTACGAAATGAAATTGGAAATATTTAAGTTTACAATAAGTAGGGAAAAGCAGGAAACTACCTTAAAATTTCGGGGAAGAAAGTCGAGAAAGCAAATTCATCACTTGGATCGCCTCTTAATTTTGTCTCTGGTTTTTTCTGCCAGTACCTGAGATAAATCCAACCTATACAGGTGCCAAATATTACCGTCGGAAGATAGGATGTCGATTCTTTCACGAAAAAACTTAGAAAAACGGACACCAATAAGGCTAAGGAAGGCAGCCACTGCAAGAAAATTGAATTAAATATAGATGAGAAAACGTAGCCTGTTAAATATTAAACCAACTGAAAACTTCCAAGATAAATTAATGCTTCGTACTTTTGCTTTTATCTTTAACAGAAATAACTCTTGGTCAGGTATTAACTGTTTGATGCCGACTAAAAACCCTGCCAGGACCCCTTGGAAACCAGAAATAGGTAGATAACTACAAAAAAAAAAAAAAAAAGAAAAAAGAAAAAAGGAAAAGCAAAAATTCAGAATTAATTTAAATCCACATATGCCGGTATTGAATTTTACTGGACAACAATAAAATTCAAATGTTGCAGAAAATGCGGGTGGTGCATCACTTACAGGTACAATTCCTGAGTTGTTATGTAGTACAAGGAAATAGCTGTGATGAAAACGCAAGCTGATGTTAGGAAGTTAACTACAAAGATGAACTTTAAAAATTCCCTCGAACCCCATATAGGTTCAAGCAATTTCCCGATGAAAAGTAGACCGATCGTGCTGATGACCACCTGCAAAATATTATTGATGTGTGAAAAAACTTACGTATAACGAAGAAACGGGACAAGAATCAAGTTAAATGGTAAAAAAAAAAAAAAAAAAAAAAAAGAAAACATACATACATACCCCATACACCGACTGCTCAACATAACCAGCTGAAATAAGATTCCAAACGAAAGGAATGGTCCTACAATAGATTGAATTAAACAAATGGGAAGTGTGTCAAACTTTCGATCTTTGAATCTAACTAAACAATTAAAGTTAAAACTATCCCCGTAACAACAACATGATCAATCCTCTTCATAGCTTCCCACATGCCTCGTAGTTTCAATAATGCCTAATCATAGAACTAAATCTTATTTTCTTAGTTTTATCTGTAGAAGCTCAAACGACGATGGGAATATTTAGATTACGTATAAAATTTCACACATCTCTGTTTCTCTAACTGTGTCTGTATCTATCTATCCATTTCCGAATCAACCAAATCGAATTCAATTTCTCGACAACAAGTCAACTAACTGTCCTACATTACAATAGATCCACCCACAATTATTCGAAAATTCGACAACACCCAAAGAATTTTCTCAACCCAATCAAAACATCTCAAATAAATTAAGAAAAATTACACATAAACAGTTGATAAAAACATCGAAAAATATGTAAAAAATCAAAGAGATAAAAAAGTGTACTTGGCTGGGATGAGAGCAAGGTAAGAAACAGTGAAAGGCAAAATATGCACAACAATGTGGCCGCCAATTAACACCACAGCCAAACCCTTGCACAGCTTCGTAAATCCTGTGGAAATGCTCATCCAGCCCTAAATTATTGATCAAAAAATAAACCCTAATTTTCAGATCTGATGATGCATGCATTAATCAACATGTACAACACGTGTATATAGATATAGATAGATATATACATAAATGCATGTATATATATATATATGTATATATGTATGAGTGCTTACTCCTGGAAGCTGCGGAGAGCTCATTCTGCGTTAAAATGGAGTTGGACTTCAAAATATGGTTTGATCTGAGAGAAATTTCGAACGGGTAGTGATGATGTATACATACACATATACATATATGTATGTTTATATATATATTTTTTAAATTATCGATCTGAATTTTGTTAAGTGTATATATTAGTATAGAATTCTTTGATTTTGAAGCAAGAGGAGTAGAAAAAACGTGAGCTCTGAAAAAAAGACGGTGGCTCAATTAATTATGCAGGGATGTATTTTTGGAAAATTTCAGTTTCGCCCCTCGAGAGTTAAAGAATTGAAAATGACCCTATTAATTAATTTAATAGGTCACATGACTACAAGGAAGTTAGGCAAAAATTGGCATATCTAGGATTATATTTCACTCATTTAGACCAAAAATTAGTATATATATCCACGTGTATATGTGTGATTCTACAATAGGTAGCAATTTGGCAAAAAAAGAAAAGAAAAGGATGTAGCTGCCATAAATTTGGAATTTATGGGGTCAATACCTAATATTAAAATTTGAGGAGTGTATGTGTGTAAATTCTCGAAAATTTTATAAAACTTTGACCCGCTGACTTTAGCTTAAGCAGAAGTAATATTGTGAAGTTCCCGGGAAAAAAGATTCTTTTGAACTTCTTCTCCATTCGCTTTCGAAAAAATAATGTAATTTTCTTGATTTTTTAATCTATTAAGTTCTTAATTTTAACACTCTTTTCGAGTGTAAAACTGTTGTTGGAGTGTTTCTTCTTCTTTTTCGTTTTTTGTTTTTTTGAATGAAGGTAATTCTGCATCACTCAGTCATTGTATATCACCTGTTCGACAAAATTCCCCACAGAAGAGAAGAAAGACTTCTAATACTTGTTTGTCATTCCGATTATGGAAAATCGTTTAGCCGTGTAGAATGTATTGATCGAAAATGATCCTGCTAAAATTTAAGGAAGATTCTGGTAATTTTAATTCTTGAAAGAACTGCTATTAATCGTTGTTTTTTTTTTTTTTTTTTTTGTATTCAGAGTTTCTTAAGCAAATGGCAATGGCGAGGCACAACGGCAAAAGACTCGCGGCCTCGATTATCCAGCTCAGCCGCTTCTTCTCTTCCGGCCCTTTTGACCCTCCTCCCGTTTTTCCTCCTCGCAGAGTTGTTGTAACAGGTAGTTTCCGTTTACTAGTAATGTACAATAATGAAAACGTAATGAACTTCCGAGGGGGTCACTGTAATTAGGTAATTAAATAATAAAACAAAGTCAGTCTTGATTTGTTTCGTTGATTATAAATATCGTAGGTTTAGGAATGGTTACTCCGTTGGGTTGTGGCGTGGAAGTCAACTGGAAGCGTGTAATAGAAGGAGAATGTGGGATTAGGGAAATAACTGTCGAAGATTTGAAGATGAATGGATTTGATACCGAGACACAGCTGCATACTTTCGATCAATTGACATCCAAAGTCGCTGGAATCGTACCCTGCGGATCAAAACCGGGTGAATTCGACGAGGAGTTGTGGCTTAACTCTAAGGTAAAAGTTGTTTGATTTTTTATTTTTTTTTCGTTTTAGATTTTCAATTTATTTTTTCAGAAAAGTCAGTTTTATCTTCAATTTCGAGATTCTATTTTTCTACCTCCACAGGAGCATAGGTCAATTGCCAGATTTATAGGGTACGCATTATGTGCGGCTGACGAGGCTCTAAAGGATGCAAATTATATGCCCACCGAGCAGGATGAGAAGGAAAGAACGGTATTAGTGTTTTTTTTTTTTAATTAAGTTTTTTGTACTTTTGGAATTTGTTCGTGAGTTCTAATTTATGAGTTTAAGACAAAATCAGGGAGTTTCCATAGGTGCAGGAACTGGTAGCATCAGTGATATATTGGATGCTTCAAGACTGATATGTGAAAAGGTTTGATTTTTTTTCACTTATTTTTTAGCTGCGTAATTAATTATAATATGATAATCTAGATATGTGCTATTTCTTCTTTCGATTCATGCTATAAGTTTCATAGAGTCTGAAACTTTTGCGAAATTTATAAGTGATAAATATAATAAATTTACTTACAGCCACTAGTAGAAAAATGGCTTTTTACTACGATCATTAACCGTAGCAAAAGGTATCAAATTCGTACTAAAAAGCTTTTTGCTACGCATTTGCTACGAATTTGCCCCGTAGCATATACGGGCGTGACAAAAGCTTTGCTACGGTAAATGACCGTACCAAATACTTTTTTGCTACGGTAAATCCTAGTATTTACTACAACTTCAAAATTGTTCCGTAGTAAAAAATACCTTTTATAACGGTTTTTTACTGTAGCAAAAAAATTCGTAGTAATAAGCAAATTTTCTACTAGTGAGCATTGTTTTATATATTAAAAGTGTTGGTGAAATTATTTATTTAGTTTCCGTTTTCTTTTTAGTGCAGAAACTACGCAGGCTGAGTCCATTTTTCATACCAAGGATATTAATCAATATGGCTTCGGGCCATGTGAGTATGAAGTACGGATTTCAGGTATGCAGTTAATGAATTTTTTTTTATTTTTTTTTTCTGGAAAAATGTGAAAATTTAAGAGGACTCGTCATTTCCCGAGTTAAATTTGGGTTTAAATATTTTCAAATCAATTACATTTCTTGGCTTCAAGTCTGTATACGATCACTTGGTTCGCGGTTTAAAGATTCATTTTTTCATGATAAAGAAGATATTATTATTATTTTGAATATCAGGGACCAAACCACGCTGCAGTGACAGCTTGTGCTACCGGGGCCCATTCTATCGGAGATGCTGCAAGAATGATTCAGTTCGGAGATGTTGATGTTATGGTTGCTGGTGGGACCGAGGCAAGCATAGATGCTTTGTCCATAGCTGGATTTTGTCGGTAATAGATAACGAGCCTATTTAGCCGTTCTTCCTTACAAATAATGTCTTATATATATTTCATTAATGTAGGTCAAGAGCACTGACAACCAAGTACAACGATGTTCCTAAAGAAGCTTCTAGACCTTTCGATTGCGGCCGTGATGGATTCGTGTAATAATGCCTAATATTTTGTGTATTATAATTTATAATATAGCTGTTTGAATCTTAATTAAGTAATACTCTGTTGAAACACAGTATAGGTGAAGGTTCCGGAATCCTGGTTTTAGAGGTGCGTACTGTTCTGTTACAAGTATATTAAATCGAGTTTTGTGTTTCTTGAAAACAAAAATGCCGGTTTATTATTGAAATCTTTTGTCACACCCTTTGTTTTTTTTTTAATATTTAAGGAGATGGAGCATGCAAAGAAGCGAGGAGCTAAAGTATACTCAGAGATTCGCGGTTATGGCATGTCGGGTAATTTCTCCAAACCATTAAAAAAAATTATGTTCGAAAATCTATATTCACAATTTTACCATTTTCGCTTTCTTTAAGGTGATGCACATCATATTACTCAACCGCACGCTGATGGAAGAGGGGCTGTTTTAGCCATGACACGTGCTCTGAAGCAGGTAAATCGACTTACGTATTTTCTACTATTGTTCGTAAAAATATTATTCGGTGAAGAAAAACGGAAGACGAAAAAGAAATGTATTGTTGGTGATTGAACTGTGATTTGCAGTCGGGGCTGAACCCTAACCAGGTGGATTACATCAATGCACATGCTACATCTACTCCTTTGGGTAAAATTTTAAGTTCCCGTTTCGATTTCGTTTCGAATTTTAAGAATACTATTTAATTGGACGATGCTCTGTTAAACCTCGTACAGGCGATACTGTAGAAGCCAAGGCAATTCTGTCTTTGTTTGGCAGTCATGCAGCATCGGGTGCTTTGGCTTTGTCTTCGACAAAGGTAAAAACCTAATAATAATATCGACGACAATTTTTATTACAAAATTTTTGGAATATATTTAACGAAATTTATTCATTATCGTATGGTGCAACGAAATCAATTATTATTCATAATGCATGTAAATTATATAACTCTCGGTTTTACGGGTGATTCTTCCATTAGGGTGCTGTTGGACATCTTCTTGGAGCAGCTGGAGCAGTTGAAGCGGTCTTGTCTGTATTAGCTATACACCATGTAAGTAAATCTATGTTGGTGATGCAAATAAAAAAAATTTAGGGCAAAATTTCGGTTTCTTTTGGAAATGAAAAAAACTAACTCAGTTTCTATTCCAAAAAAACAATCGGAAAAAAATCAGATATCGGAATTTCGAAAATTGGAATGAAAAAACTCGTTCCAAAATGAGAAATTTTCAGACCGGAATCGGCAGAGTTCGGAAGAATCAAAAAATTAGATCACCTAAAATATAAAATGCATAATAACATTGATATTATAAGTGCAATTTTCGGGGGGAAAAATTCAGAATTTTCGGAAATTAAAATTGGATTGAAAATTGAAATCTCATATATATTCCAATTCCTATCCAAAAAAGTTCGGAAAAAAATCGGAATCGGGATTTCGGAATGAAAATAATTGGTCCAAAATCGTATAATTTCGGATCGGGATTGGTGGGAATCAGAAATTACGTTCCAATTTCCACCATAGGGGTAGCTAAGAGAAATTCATATCCAAATTAACATAATATTCTATTCGCATTTTACGTATATAGCAACTGCTTCCGTGTTATATGCATGTTTTAATTGCAGGGAACTGCACCGTTAACGCTCAACCTCACAAAACCGGATCCCGTTTTCAATGGTGAGTTTGTGCCATTGAGTGCTTCAAAAAACATGGCTATTAAAGCGGTTTTGTCGAACTCTTTCGGCTTCGGTGGAACAAATTCATCGCTGCTGTTTGCTGCTATAGATTGAGTGAGGGCATCATGAATTTTATTATACTTAGCTCTATTTATTTAATAGCAATTTTATTTATATCCTTGAATAAATTGGAAATTTTGGTTTCAGTTTTGGATTAATTATTGTTTTTATTGCATAATAATTAATGAGCTTTCCATGAATAGGAAACCTCTATATAAATAGGATGTATACCAAAAAAAAAAAGTAAATAAAATTTCACAATTTAGAAATAAAAATATAATAAAACCCATTTCGAAAATTTATTTATTTATTATTATTATTCATTTAACTGAAAAACAACTAATAATTAAAAAAAGCACCAATCACCATCGATTTTTTTTCTTCATTCATAAAGTCGATTTTCCTTTGCGGCCCGATATAAGATGATTAGTATGGTCACACAAACAAATCGCACCTTTGCAATATGATTTTATTAAACGTGAACCATAAACCTGCTCGCAAGTTGCCTTGCACTTGGCTTCATAACATTTGGGCAGAAACGGCATCGGTACCGCATTAGTCATCGTGTCCGATTGAAATGAAACGTTCATTAAAAACACGACCATGACTACGAACACCAAATTCAGAGTGCGTGACGACGAAGACATTCTTGTAGTAATTGTTTTGGAGGGAGTAATTAACTAATAATGTAAAGATAATATGTTAGTAATAATATTGAGAGGAGATGGAATTGTGATTTTTTTTTTGGGTATTGTTGTGGAAATTTGGATTTAATTGTATGTTTTCAACTCTTAGAAAAAGAAAAAAACAAAAAAACAAAAGGGAAATATAATTAATGCGAATTGCTTAGTTTTAATTATGGAAGACGCTAAAAGGTTTATTTAGGGGTGCAAGTTGGAACGGAAATTCCAATTTCCGTCGGTTCCGATCTGAAAAGTTCCGATTTTGGAATAACTTTTTTCTTTCCGACTTCCAAAATTTCGATTTCCGAATTTTTCCGATTTTTTTGGATTGGAATTGGAATTATATAAAATAAATTTGGAATTTCCGATTTCCGATCCGATTTGATTCCGAAATTAATTCCGAAGAATTCCGATGTTTTTCCGAAAAATACACCTATAAATAATAAATATTATATAATACTTATCTTTCCGAAAAATACACCTTTAAGTTTTGTTTTAGGATTTTGGCATAATGAATTGTTGTTAGAAGCTTTATTAGATATTATGTTGTATTTATGTTTTTTTTTATTTTTTGAACTGAAATTTAGTTGTTATTAGTTTTACTTTATCGACGTGGATGTTCTTATTTTTGGAAAATTATGAACATTTAAAAAAAAAAACCGCTAAATTTTGAAATTTTTAAGCTCGTGTGATTTCTGATTTTTTTCCGAAATTCCGAAAATTCCGGGACTTTTGGAATTGGAATGAATTTTTAGATTTCGAAAATTTTGGAATTGGAGTTGGAATTGATTTTGTACTTCCGAATTTTTTTGGAAATTTTCCCAAAAGGCTAATTCCGATCCGATACATCCGACTTTCACCCATAGGTTTATTAATTAATGCTTTTAAATTTGCTGAAGTTAGGGGGGGGGGGAGGGGGGGGGGGGGGTATTTAAAGGTTTTGATAATTTAAGGGGTATGTGATGCAAAATCTATAGTTTACATTGGGCTTGGGCAACTAGGTCAAGGCCCAAGAACGGGCAGCAGCTCCGGGCAGGCAACCCAAGTATTTGGGCAACCCGGAACCAAAGGAGAATGGAAAAGGATCCGGAAAAGAAAAAATACCCGGGTCGGGCTTTTGACCCGTTGGGCTACTCCAATGACCCTATAAAGCTCCAAGAGTTCAGATTCTAATATACTTCAATTTTATCATTCAAACCTTAATTTATCCCAATTTTACCAATCAACCCTTTTCTTTATTACTCGTGAGATTCCACGGATAAGAAACCTCTATTTAATACAATCGAAACCAAAGGGAGTAAATAAAAATTCTTTTTTATTTAGAAAGAAATGGAGTATATAATAAAACTCATTTTTGTTGTAAATGCATTGAAAATGCATTAAGTGGATGTCCAAATTAATGAAGAGTTACCAACCATTAATGGTCTTTAATTGAAGTACACTCTTGTAACTCTTAGGACATTAATCTTCCTTGTAAGTATAAATTGCTTACTTTGTAATAGACAAAGACACACTTGAGATTTGAGAATACAAGAAAGAATAAGAAGAAAAGGTTATATTATCATTACATTTGATCTCTCATATTCTTGTTTTACTTGATTTTCTTTAATATATTTATAACACGTTATCAGCACGAATTGCTCTACCTCACTATCCGGTAAGGACATAAATTGAAAGTCTGTATGCACTCACTGTATGTCATGAAGGTTTGTTGGTTGAGTATTCAATTATTCGGATGTGCATTCATTCACCAGGAATATTTATGGTCTAACCATTTTGTTAAAGGTCAAGGTGCACATATATGTATATTAGCGTGAACTCATCATGTTATAACTGCCTGAAAATATATATAAACTAATGCATATATGTAGAAATGAAATATATTGAATTCCTATGTATATATGCTTATTTATGCTTACATTTTATATCCATTCAACATTTAATTTATATGCATATAGTTTTATATTATACAGTAGAGTGTCTCTTCCTGTTATTAAATTATACATGTTAATTATTATCCTAAGATTTAACTTTGTATTCATGAGAATGCCTTAATTTTCTCAAACCCGTTATTTGCGATTCTGTATGAATCCATTTCTTGTGTTTTGTCTTACACACATGATATATTGCATTTTCTGCGTATATAATTTACACCACTTTGTGCATAATAATAATATCAAACGTTTTGATACAATAAGAGATATTAATTTATTTATTTTATAAGTATTATTGTAAATTAAAATGCTATCTCTTTAATTATTCTTTATTTGTTTTATTGTTATGCAAATTATCATAAGAACCTGAAGTTCTTTATAGAAAATATAGGCCCGAAGTCTATATCGAATATCAAAGCCTGAAGCTTGAATATATTGAATAAATTAGACTCAAACCTGAAGTTTTGAGTATACATATAATCTAAAGCACTATTAATTTTATGACACATTGCATGGCAAACATCACCAAGCTTGAGTTCGCTGCTCTAGATATTTCCGGAAGAAATTATCTAACTTGGATTCTTGATGCTGAGATCCATTTGAATGCCATGAACCTCGGAAATACCATTAAGGATGGAAATGAGGAAAGTGAACAAGATAAGGGGAAATCAATGATTTTTATTCGCCATCATCTCCACGAGGGCTTAAAATCCGAGTATCTTGGGGTAAAGGACCCTGCTACTCTATGGAATAATTTAAAGGAAAGATATGATCACCAGAAGAGTGTGATACTTCCTAAAGCTCGATATGAATGGATGCACTTGCGTTTGCAAGATTTTAAATCGGTAAATGAGTATAATTCCGCCATGTTTAAAATTGTTTCTCGATTGAGATTATGCGGAGACGATGTCACAGAACAGGACATGTTAGAAAAGACATTTACCACATTTCATGCCTCTAATATGCTCCTGCAGCAGCAATATCGTGAAAGAGGTTTTACCAAATACTCTCAATTGATTTCTTGCCTCCTCGTTGCTGAACAGAACAACGAGCTCTTGATGAAAAATCATAACTCCCACCCAACAGGATCACAAGCATTTCCAGAAGTAAATGCAAATGTTTCATTCCCTGAAGTGAATGCAAACAACTATAATCGTGGTCGAGGTCGTGGCCGTGGGCGTGGGTATCGCCGTGGGCATGGTCGACATCAAGATGGTCCACCATACCACCCGAAGTGGAATAAAAATGGTGAAAAACAAGACAAGGGCAAGGCTGTAAAATTTGGCCCTCCTAATAATCAAAATGAGAGTTGCCACAGGTGTGGAGTGAAAGGGCACTGGTCACGTGCATGTCGTACTCCAAGGCACCTTGTGTATTTATATCAAGCATCCATCAAGGGAAAGGGAAAAGGGAAAGAAATCAATTTTACTGATTTTAGCAACACCGAGAATGACCATATTGATCCAATGGACCTTACCCATTTGGATGTTGCTGATTTCTTTCCCGCGCCAAGTGGAGAAATTGATGAAATCAAATTTCATGGTGATGATAACAATGATGGCAACAAATAGATCAATCAGGATTGATCAAATATTACATTTATGTTGCATTTGAGTTAAATAATGTTTATCTTTCCATTCCCTAAATGAGTTCGAAATAATTTTGGTATGTGGTTGGTGGTTTGATTGATATAAGAAAATAAATTTTATTATATCTTCTTATATTACTTATTTTATTCCCAGAAAAATGGAATATAATGAGTCCGTGAGCAACCTGAACGATGGAGACATTTGTTTGGTTGACAGTGGAACAACACACACAATTCTTCGAGATCAAAAAAGATTTCTCGAGTTTGAAATTGGCAAAGGCAAGTGTTAGTACAATTTCTGGTACTAACAAACTAATTGATGGCTCCGGAAGAGCTAATATTGTTTTGCCTGGTGGGACGAATATTTTTGTAAAAGAGGCTTTGTACTCTAATAAATCCAAAAGAAACTTACTGAGTTTCAAGGACATACGTCTCAATGGATTTCATATCGAGACTATGAATGAGGGGAATATGGAATTTCTTTGTATTACAATTTACAACCAATATTTCATGCCAGAAGCATGTTAAAGAGAAACTCCCAGTTTTCTCATCAGGGTTGTATTATGCGACTATAAGCGCAATAGAAACAAATATTGTGATGGACCAGAAGTCCAATGATCCGAAACTTTTCTCTCTTTGGCACGATCGACTTGGTCACCCAGGATCGACCATGATGCGTCGAATAATAAATAATTCATATGGGCATACTTTAAAGAACCAGAAGATTCTTTTGCCCCATGAATGTGTATGTGTTGCATGCTCTCAAGGGAAATTAATTATAAGACCATCTCCAATGAAAATTAGTAGTGAGGCCCCAATATTTTTACAAAGAATTCAAGGGGATATTTGTGGACCTATAGATCCACCTTGTGGACCATTTCACTATTTTATGGTTCTATTGGATGCATCATCTAGATGGTCACATGTAAGTCTATTGTCAACACGTACTGTTGCTTTTGCTAGACTTCTTGCTCAAATCATAAGATTACGAGCTCAATTTCCCGATTATCCTATCAAGACTA